ATGATAAGGGTAATGTCATCCCCGTTTTAATTGAATTCACAATAATCTATATGAACAACGCTTTAATGCATGTTCCTTAGGCTGTTCAAACAAACGTTTGTTCAAACTTCTAACTACCGTTCTTCTTTCTTTGAAATCTCCAAAATCCAGGTTACAGTCCGTTGTGACGGTGTTTACTCAAGCATTGAAATTCATAGAATTTGAGAAGAGCTTCTGACAAAATCCTCAACACGCTCTCCTTTCTATAAGAGCATTCGACGTTTCAACTTCACCGCAATGTTCTACTCTCAACTGGAAGAAATCCTTCATTATCTTGTTTTGAGAGCTTTCTTTTTCAAGAAAGGTGAATGGCGGTACACATATATGCTTATACCTCGGTGTTTTTCTACATCGGCGGATTACCACGGTGTTTTTCTACATCCGCGGATTACCTCGGTGTTTTTCTACATCCGCGGATTACCTCGGTGTTTTTCTACATCGGCAGTTTATCTCGGTGTTTTTCTACATCGGCAGTTTATCTCGGTGTTTTTCTACATCCGCGGATTACCTCGGTGTTTTTCTACATCGGCGGATTACCACGGTGTTTTTCTACATCCGCGGATTACCCCGGTGTTTTTCTACATCGGCGGATTACCACGGTGTTTTTCTACATCGGTAGTTTACCTCGGTGTTTTTCTACATCCGCGGATTACCACGGTGTTTTTCTACATCGGCAGTTTATCTCGGTGTTTTTCTACATCCGAGGATTTCCACGGTGTTTTTCTACATCGGTGTATTACCACGGTGTTTTTCTACATCGGCAATTTACCTCGATGTTTTTCTACATTCGCGGATTACCTCAGTGTTTTTCTACATGATTTCAATAGCTGAGCTAAAAGCTAAAAAAACGAGTTTAAAAATCGAGCACATAGCGAGTAGCGAACTAGTTTTGGAGGCGAGCCAAGAGCCAAAGCTAGGGTCGACCAGGTCGAGCAAGCCTGCAACGGCAGAGTTCAAATGCCGTGCCAAATGCAAACACTGCATGAATTATATGATTAGCCAATAGCAAGCACTGACAATGTTTACATCTATAGTTTTGCATCAAAACACTGTTTTAATATGACGTTTATATAGCACTATCTTGGTGACGATTGTTTGCTTATAATTCACTCAGGAATTTCATCGACATCACGTATTTCAGCGGCATTTCAGGTGTAAAAAGGTCAACGATGTTCCTAAAGAAGTTTTTTAGATAAGCATACATTAAAATTTCAAATTGGATGTCCGTACCATGTCATTTCATGTAAACGAACACGTACCAATGTACACTAGCAGAGGTATATTTGTAGTATTAGAAACCATCATCGGTAACCATGGTATTGTAACGGATGCGTACTGTCAGTTCGTTACCAAGTTCTATCTTGGACCCAGTAACTGTTTAACAAATAGTAAAATGCCCACAATATATATACAAAATACTGCTCTGTCTACCTGACTCAAATAATGATATAAATTATACTTCAATAACTATAGAATTCAACATTTATTGCACTTAACACTGACATGTATAGAGTCTCAATACCAACTAAAACACTTTATCACATATATACCCGCCACCCTGTGTCGGTAGTAAATAATTAACCTTTTACCACAACACCCGTGACTGTACAAAATTGACCGTGACACACTTCGACCACGTCAGCCTTCACCGCGACACACGTGCATGACTGCGTCACCTTTTGCCTCAACCACTTGGACCAAGTCAGCTATACACTGTGTCTCGGCAAAACCTGTGCCTCGTTACCCTGTCACTGTACCTGATCAACTACACATCACCCTGTACTGTGATCTCCCGTGACTTTGTACACTTGTATAAGACGTGTAAGAATTATTGGTTCCGATTTTAAAGGAGCTAGACCCAAACTTTTTTTAGCTTGGTCACTGTTACCTTTTATTTTCAGCTAGAGATCCTTTACGTTCGTCTGTCAGCATCCGAGAGAGAGCTAGCTTTTCGTCTGGTGGAACCTCTATTTATACGACTACCCATGAAATGCCTTCTTTCAAACAACCAATCAAAAGTGCTCTTTCTTTTACAAACTACAGAAATAACTACAAGTCTACACTGCTAATCCTTTATTGTGTAATGTTGTTAATCACATGGAATCAATCGTTTCAGTATTACTGAGATATATATATAGAAAGGAACGTAAAACGTGGACGGTTCGAATATCAAAAAAATGACAAGAGTATACATGTGTTTTTTGCCTATCAAAAAATACGAACATCATGGATATTTTCTCTCCGATTGAAATGGGAGGCTGTAGACACATATTAGTTCTATGAGAACTATAGCAAGACATCGTTACCTAGACTATGTCGTACAAAAATGATATCAAAAGTTTTTTATGCATTACTAGCCCGTCATCATATTGGGACTTACGTATCATACATACAGTTGAGAATTCTGGGTCAATGCTATATCAGATAATACAACACATGGATTAGGAATTAGATCAATCTTGTAGTCCTCAAAGCTGATTAGCAGCTTCAGTAAATTTGTGTGTATGATAGGGGATACAAAAAGCAGGAAAACATGTATGCGCGATTTTGTAAATAATCAAACAGTGCTGATTACTGTTTTTCACAGTTGAAGAGTAGATGACAATAACCCTTATAAATTCATTGTTCGGTAGTAGCAACCCTATATAAGTCAGTTGCTAGCACTGAATTATTCACATGAAGTCGAAACTACAATCAGTGAGACATTTACTTACTCCAACCAGGACAAGCATCTGGCGCTTACTGCTGACATCGTCCAGCCCTGACAATTTCCGTTTATTTGTTATATGATATCCAGTAAGTACCCTCTCATCGTTTCAAACGGAAAGCACGCTGACACATAAAACTAACTTCCTTATATACGATAAGTACACTACACACCTCTGTAGCTTCCTGGATACTTACAAAACATTCTCATAAAGATTGCATGAAAATGTGCCAACATCTACCCTGCTGATAGAGTAACTTTACAAATGACACCGACAATACACCAATATAATTACCGGATCAAGGAATGTATTGATTAGGTCCATCGTATACCCACCGGACTCTTCTAAGGAGCCACTTATCTCGATATTTTCCTACAACGAAACCAACACACACCTTTCCACCAAGCCGTATGATAAGCGCGATAATTTCAATTTCTCAATTGTGAATTTTCTGTTTCTGGATAGCAATATCTTTGCATCCCCGTCCTATGGTGTGTAGACGTCGCAGTTGATTCGATTTTGAAGGGTTCGATTATCATGATTTTCTTACAAAGTCATTAAATGGTAGACAAACTTGTAACACAGGGTTTCAAAAGATACAGGTTGATGAAAATTATGGGGAAGTTTTACGGTCGTCATGGTGATTTATCTCATTGATATGCACGTGAACGTGTTTGATACTCGTTAGTTTGTCTGTTGATCCGTTGTTGTATACCTTGTTCTCATTTCAGAACGTGGCATTAATTACTTGGATTGACTAAAATTTACATCGCGGGTGTCATCGATGAAGTAAAAGACGCTTACTCTTCCGGAACACCTGATATTATTCTACTTTTACCTTTTCATGTTTCTGTATCAATAATGTTTTGCCCTAGTTTTACTGAATTAGAGTTTGGATTATGTTTATGCTGACATGTTGGTATTTCTTGTGTTTTGAATGTGAAACGTCTGTATTTTTAGGAATGTGACTGAAATGATCTAATCCTTTAAAACTGTCACAATATCATTGGTAATATCATCAATTAACCTTTATGTTACCGCTATCTATTTTTCATAATTCATGAATTAAGGAACTGTTCCTATTATACTTTATCATCCAATTGGTCTCTAGAGAAGTTGTCGTGAATGGTTGCATAAATGAATGATATGAGGAGGAAATAATTTCGGTTGTTTTTATTTCGAATCCAGCGAGGTTTGAAAGTTAACATTTGATAAAATGTACAAACCAAAGCCAGTAATTTTACAAATGGAGAACAGTCCATTCTAGTCACATGAAGGTGTACTGTGAGAGTCACTATTTCACAAACTTAACATATACGTACTGTGAGAGTCACTATTTCACAAACTTAACATATACGTACTGTGAGCGTCACTATTTCACAAACTTAACATATACGTACTGTGAGAGTCACTATTTCACAAACTTAACATATACGTACTGTGAGAGTCACTATTTCACAAACTTAACATATACGTACTGTGAGAGTCACTATTTCACAAACTTAACATATACGTACTGTGAGAGTCACTATTTCACAAACTTAACATATACGTACTGTGAGAGTCACTATTTCACAAACTTAACATATACGTACTGTGAGAGTCACTATTTCACAAACTTAACATATACGTACTGTGAGAGTCACTATTTAACAAACTTAACATATACGTACTGTGAGAGTCACTATTTCACAAACTTAACATATACGTACTGTGAGCGTCACTATTTCACAAACTTAACATATACGTACTGTGAGAGTCACTATTTCACAAACTTAACATATACGTACTGTGAGAGTCACTATTTCACAAACTTAACATATACGTACTGTGAGAGTCACTATTTCACAAACTTAACATATACGTACTGTGAGCGTCACTATTTCACAAACTTAACATATACGTACTGTGAGAGTCACTATTTCACAAACTTAACATATACGTACTGTGAGAGTCACTATTTCACAAACTTAACATATACGTACTGTGAGAGTCACTATTTCACAAACTTAACATATACGTTCTGCGAGAGTCACTATTTCACAAACTTTAGATATATGTACTGTGAGAGTCACTATTACTGTCACAAACTTTAGATATACGTACTGTGAGAGTATGCTGACAAATACTTGTAGAGTATATCAATATCAGCAAACGCGTGTTTCCGCCGTCTGACACCAATTACTTCAGTTCAGCTCGCGTTTGTATAAACATACTAATAACAAACTAACCGAATTAACATCCGTGTGTTAATCAATCCATCAGAATGGCTTGTGTGTCACTTAACTTAATAGTGTTAAAAAAGAAAATACACAATTTTTCTCAATTTATTTACACCGATAAAAAAGAACTTTTTTTTTTCATAGCGTTCACACCGATAAGAAATTTTCTTTTTCAAAACTGAGATGATGACATGATATTTCCGCTTTGAATGAAGCCAGCTTCAATATGACTGTACCACTGTTTTATCATAACAGATATTTAAATGACATACATTTTATTTGTGAAATCTGTCTATAGTTTTAGTACCCAAGATAGAAAACTTTCCTCTTAAGCACGGATGAGGGAGCCATATTAGTCATTTATTTACTCACATATTTTAAAACAACTCCTTAAATCCGATCTAAAGCGCCTGTCCATGATTCCGTACACAATGGGGTTGACAATGTTATTAAATATGTAGAATGTGTGTAAAAACCTGTAAAAGACGAGCTGACTTGGTGGAATCGAAGACCAGAAGTGTCTGTTTACGGTCTGTTCTAACATCAGCCAGACTTTTGGTCCGTAAGTGATGATGTAGATGATAGTGACGAGGATAAATATTAAGGTGAGACGGATTCCCTGTCGGTCGACCACACTGCCTTTCCTCCTAAGCGATCCCGTCGCTGAGACCACACTTTGCTTCCGATTACATCTTTCAGGATCTGTTACCTTTCTTTTGTGGGTTTTATTACCAACCAATGGGTGTTGTATTTTTCGTTCGAATTCTTTTTTTGTAACCACTTTTACATGTTCGAATTCCTCCTTAACAGCAGGGGTTTTCAGCTGGACTTCTTCATCCTTATGACTGCATGAGACGGAGGTACTACCATTTGATGTGATCGATCCCATTCTGTGTCTGTATTTTCTCTGCTTAAATATGATAAAGGAAATATTACTGTAACATACCACCAGAACGACAAATTTTATCATTGTTATCACAAACAGTGCGATTTTATATATCATATGACCTGTTGCGTGTTCTTTGTCCTTTGTGTCAATACATTTCCACGTCTGGATTTTGAATCCTCCTTTCATTTTCATGGGGACCTCCTCTACGCGGTAAATTCCTAGGGAAGGGATAGAACACACCAAACTAATCGCAATCATGACAATAAAAGCGATTTTCTTCGTCAGTATTGTCATTTGACGGCGAAATGGTTTGCAAACCTTCAGATAACGTTCTACAGCAATGATCACAAGAAAATTGGCAGACAATCCGGCGAACAAAATACCCAGAAACGCTGCCATCTTGCACCCGAAATCATTATCGAATATTAATGGGTACGTTTGTGCATATATTCCAGTCCCTGAAGACACCACACACGACAATAAGTCTACTAGTGCCAATAACGGGATGAAGTACCTGTCCTCTCTTACGGGCTTCTTACGTGCCCAGTACACAAACATCACTAAACTGTTCCCCAAAACACCAATGGCGATATAAAACCATAAAACTACTGTCACTGGCAGCAGTGTCTGTGCGACGTGGTCGTTGACATAAATCAAAGGAGGAGGTTTAAATGAAACATTCAATAACGTGGTGAAATTCGACGTAGGTTCGGTAGTCAGGTTCATGTTGATTTGTTTAACACTTGGTAGCTTTCGTAAAGATCACTATCCAGCAGGATGTATGTTTACATCCAGGACTTTTCAAGTCTGCGTAAACTTGTGTACAGGAGACTGCACGATGTAAAGTGGAGTCTGTATTGTTAATTCTGACATCCTGTATTTAAGGACTTTACACCGGAGAGTGCACTGGACGTTACAATTCTAATAAATGTAATGATGTATCTTGTAACCAACAATTAACAGGTTCGAAACAATGTTCCGGCAGAGAACCATGTTGTTGATTAACTAATATATGTAGAACAGAAGGTCCAGGTTTCAATAACTAATCTTTTTCTTCATTGTTATACTATACTGGAGGTTACAATACAACAATACACTCTCGTTACCACGGCCCAAACAACAGAGCACAGACAAATAGCTAGTTGGTGTTGAGTTAGCCTGTTCATCTAATACAGATCAACTTAGCTGAGGGGCGTTCCTGTATCACATTCAAGGAAAACAGATGACGTGTCATTTAACTTATGCAGTAAAATAATTACGAAATACATCGTGACTTTTGTCCGGTCATATCCTTTTCATGCCGCCTTTCCTGCCGACATAAGTGACCATAGTTAAGTGGATGCTCAGACAACTTGTATCATTACAACATATTAACAAATTATCGAACATTACTTTTAAGTTATTGATCATTATTTTAAAATATTACAATATGATAATTATAAAATGACTTTTATTTTCTTACCCTAATGTCATATCACGTCAGATAAATGAATCAAACCCATGTCCTTACATATATCGATTGCTGTGGTCTTTTGATAGCAATACACTATGCAATAATAACACACGGTATTATGTCAATAGCTGGTACTGAAAATTAGAATAAGGCTGAAAAGAATTCGATCAAATACATGTCAAAACCAGATTGATGTATGCTCTTTCATATAACAAACTAATAACACAGGGTTATGGAGAACGATCACGGTCTTCAGAGTGATTTCCTTCAAATATCATATTTCTCCGAAGCTGAATTACAAATCTAAAGACTAGCAACTTTACAATGACACTATATACTAACGACAATACATCGATAACGTTTACTATACAACTCTTTACACGGACCAGTAAATACAATACCCGTATAAAGTTGATCATATACTGACCACTAGTGACAATACCCGTATAAAGTTGATCATATACTGACCACTAGTGACAATACTCGTACAAATTTATCATATACTGACCGCTAGTGACAATACCCGTACAAATTTATCATATACTGACCGCTAGTGACAATACCCGTACAAATTTATCATATACTGACCGCTAGTGACAATACCCGTACAAATTTATCATATACTGACCACTAATGACAATACTCGTACAAATTTATCATATACTGACCGCTAGTGACAATACCCGTACAAATTTATCATATACTGACCGCTAGTGACAATACCCGTACAAATTTATCATATACTGACCGCTAGTGACAATACCCGTATAAAGTTGATCATATACTGACCACTAGTGACAATACCCGTATAAAGTTGATCATATACTGACCACTAGTGACAATACCCGTATAACGTTTATCATATACTGACCGCTAGTGACAATACCCGTATAACGTTTATCATATACTGACCACTAGTGACAATACCCGTATAAAGTTTATCATATACTGACCGCTAGTGACAATACCCGTATAAAGTTGATCACATACTGACCGCTAGTGACAATACCCATATAACGTTTATCATATACTGACCACTAATGACAATACCCATATAAAGTTTATTATATACTGACCGCTAATGACAATATTCGTACAAATTTATCATATACTGACCACTAGTGACAATACCCGTATAAAGTTGATCATATACTGACCACTAGTGACAATACCCGTATAAAGTTTATCACATAATGACCACTAGTGACAATACTCGTATGAAGTTTATCATATACTGACCACTAGTGACAATACTCGTACAAATTTATCATATACTGACCACTAGTGACAATACTCGTATAACGTTTACTATACAACTCTTTACACGGACCAGTAAATACAATACCCGTATAAAGTTTATCATATACTGACCGCTAGTGACAATACCCGTACAAATTTATCATATACTGACCGCTAGTGACAATACCCGTACAAATTTATCATATACTGACCGCTAGTGACAATACCCGTGCAAATTTATCATATACTGACCACTAGTGACAATACCCGTACAAATTTATCATATACTGACCGCTAGTGACAATACCCGTACAAATTTATCATATACTGACCGCTAGTGACAATACCCGTATAAAGTTGATCATATACTGACCACTAGTGACAATACCCGTATAAAGTTTATCATATACTGACCACTAGTGACAATACTCGTACAAATTTATCATATACTGACCGCTAGTGACAATACCCGTATAACGTTTATCATATACTGACCGCTAGTGACAATACCCGTATAAAGTTGATCACATACTGACCACTAACGCCAACATTCTTTTAAAGTTTGCTATACACTGACCACTAATGACAATACTGACCATTAACAGGAACATCTTGATTACTTGCTATTCATAAAGCTTATGACATATCTCATTAAAATAGTTTGCTAATTAAGTGTTTATATGCTTCAGCTTTTATTAGAATAGGGATCAATTTTCTTGAGAAACAGTAGTTTATAAGGTGATTTAGGGCGTTACAGTTTGTTTATCCCGTTCGCTGAAGAGCGATAATATCCTTATAACATATCAGAAAGAGTATGGATATAGAATTGTATTACTCTATAACATCGGATTCGGCACCATAACATCCTTTGTCTGTTCCAATAGAGTACTAAGGAGTCAATTAATTACCATCAGGAGAAATCTCTTTAAAACAAGAAAATTGCAACATATGAACAGAATCATTATCCAGTCTCAAATTCATTAAAACCAGAACAACAAATGAACAAAAGGAAGATTTACAATAGACACCTGATAAAGAACGAGGGGAATGACACGCGGTTATCCGGAATAGACTTCTGTATATTGACAACATGTAAATCTTGGTCATTCCAAATAAGCAATGAAAATTCAAAGAAGAAAACATGGTAACACAAAGGAGCTGAAGGGTCTACTAACGAGAACGTTCAACTTCATGTCGTATAACAATTTTTATTCCATATATTTCTTCTTTGATTTGGCGTATTTATCACAAATTTCATTTCATTTCAACAAAGTTTAATGAAAAAGATGGTACAGTCAGTGTGGATTGAATAACAGGCAAAGCCTATATAAATTCTCTCCACGAAGCCAAAGTTAACAAAGTTTAAAAGTAACGATGTAAATTATATAATTTGAAATGAAAGTGAATTTATAAACACAGAAAGGGAAAAAAACAAGGAAAAACAAATAAAGGGAGATAACTCTCACACATCTCGCATACACTATGCACAATATATAATATATATATATGAATATAGTATACAGCAACCTACAGTTGTATACACTTGCAATAACACATATAAATGATATATTTTTTTATTAAATAGATTGGCAGGTTGGCATAAAAGTCCCATGTCCATTTGCACTGCCAATTCTGTCAATATAATTTAAATTCATTATTTTATTATGGTTTGTAGACTATACATAATTAGTGTATATGGATTTGTATATTTCATATTCATCTGGTATCCAGTAATTGTCTGTCAATATTGAGTAAAGCATGATAAAATAACATATTTGCACATCATCCTGGCTATGTGTAGTTAAGATATAATGAAGTTAAACCTTCTGGTCTGTCCAATATACAGCTTTATCACAAACTTAACTTAAGTATGGTTTACAACCATATAGCTGTATCGTCAATCACCTTTTTTTGGAAAGAAAAGCTCTCACACAAATGAATGTAACAAGAGGAGACATTCGTTTAGTTTAGAATAAGATATGTTAGTGTACAGAGTGGAAAAGTGATCTTATAGAAAAACGGGTTTTTAGAAGAGGATGTTCAAGGTCGGTCATAAGCTCTTTGGATTTCTTTTAGATCAACATGACATTAAACCCGCTTCATGAGGAAACAGTATCAAAATAAGACTGTAACCCTAATTTGATAATACTTAAAATAATAGTAAGGACATGATAAAAGTATGGTTGAACAAGTAGACGAGATGTTAATGTATCCAGTATAAACGGGGGATGTCCGTATACTTATCATTAATTGGCAAGCTGTATACGTGTAATAATATAGCATGATTAGCCAGTATTATTGAATTATATATATGTAGAGTTCCCTACGTTATCTTATAAGCCTGGTTCTTTTTGTAGGTTAGAAAACATAGTCTCCAAACAAGTTATCAGATGTTTTGTCCTTTTTGTCTTTCATACAATTAATTTATTTTGAAGTGTAGACTAAACATCAGGATCAAGAAATACAGACTTGTGTTTTGTTTTCCATTTTATATTTCAAGCCGCGTATTCTATTAAGAATAATTGATCGATTTCATTTAAATCCACTCTGAAAGTGAATCCAACACAGCATGATCTTGTTTCACCTTTGGTATAGGTTTTTTTTCTACAGCAACTTAAAATTGGCATTCCAATCGATAAAAATTGGTATTAAGATAGTTTGGACGCTTTATGAAAAGCCCTTGTGGCTTATCATTGTAGCTAATGTTTAAGTCGAACGTTAGTATATTAAGATGTTACCTAGTTATAAGGAGAGGTAGACCAAGAGCACATCAAAAGAGGAATATTCTTATGACATCTACATTCACTTACGTCCATTAACTAGGATACAATAGTATCGGAAGGAGCAATTCAGGAAAGTTGTGCCACAGTACTCCTATCTTGCGCTAAAACTGACAATATAGAACAAGCGTTCTAACTGTTGGATGAAGATATAATTGAAAATAACTGCAACGCCGATAAGCGTTTTACAATTTGTAGGTACTGCAGGTCTTAATGGTAATCAGTTGTCCAACATGTTTTTGTGTACGGTTAGTTAGACCTGGGGTAGTTGTCTCCGATTGGATTAGAAGTGTGAGGCCAGTTAAGGGACATGTGGTCATCTCAGGCATAAACAGGTAATTAAGTATTTAACACAATTAGCATAATATCTACTATCGATTATTGTTGTACGCATGCACACAGGTAACACTAGGGTAAAGTACAAAGAAATAAGTCTGAAAATGGTATTATTTGTAAGAAAGACAGCTATCTTATGTTCTTGTTTAACGGCTCATTATCCTGATATGAATTTCGATTACCATAAATATATATATACCATATATACATTTTAACATTTTACGAGGGTCCATTTAAAGTTTGTTTTTTCTTTATTCAATTTGAAGAATAATATCCAAAATGTAAGTGTGCTCTTTCTAAAATATATAGTAATTTTCTCATTTACATAACATGATGAGCTCAAGTTTTATGACTTTATTAAAACACTTAAACAATGATAACACCCAGTTAATTGCCTACAATTATATCATCACCTTAGAAACTTATATCCAGTATAGAATTAAGCCAAAGTTGAAAGCAATCGGAACTAGGACTCAATTGGACGTTTTATACGTTTCTTTGTTATTCTGCAAAATATCACATAGGTTAATCACCCACCAGGGACATTTTTTGAATTTTTACATTACTGATAGGGCTATAAAATAAAACTTAAACCACGCCTCAGTTTTTTAGGTCCGGTTTCACGGGAAGAATGTTCTTAAGCCAGTTTGATATCAGCATTAACCAGACACGTTTTCCGGCTTATATGTGTCATTTTTGTATCTTTAGCAATCCTTTCTTGCAGAGAGACCTATCTCATACAAATTTTATCATCTATTTGTCGAATTTTATATTTCCACAGTCAGTGTTGTTGTGATCTTACCTACAGAAAGACAAGCCTGATATAAGCGATCACTGGACTAATAAATCTTACCAATATTCCTGTACATTATTTTCCTTTTTTTTCTATCATTAACATGGATACACATTGTAATTAAGTATATTTTTCTTAACCCTACCCCAATTGTTTAACTCTGAATAATTGATCCTATTGTTTGTTAGTGACGACGAGTCATGAACGTATTGTTTAAAGTGGAAATAAGTGGCCTAAATAAGGAAGGAAAGGACTGCGTTTATCAACGGTATACTGATTTCAAGGTATAATTTTGTATGAAAGGCTGCGTCTGCTACTACTTATAAAATGACTTACTTAATACGATACTGAATGTATGGTATGTACTGCACGTATGGTGATATTTTCAAAACAAATCAAAACATTTTCAGTTTTGCACGTGAGTTACGCCAATTTATTTCAATGAAATTAAAGTTTCATTGCAACATTTTAAACTTCGTTACATTAATTATTTTGGTCCCTTATTTACAAACACTGATATGACTAAAGTGTTGTTACTACGTACATATCATTATCGTAATCAAAAGGTAAATCTTTAAAATTAAAAATATTACAAATAATGTTTTATTTGATAGCTTGAACATATCCTTCCTCAAAACATAACAATGTGATAAACATTTATTGATAAAGCAGCGACATTTTCTCCTATATTTCTCTGTAAGCATAATAACGTAAGACAAAAATGCAGCACATCTCGTAAATATATTGAAACAAGTCATTTTTCGGAACATGAAGCGTTCTGGAAGCAAGAAAGGAAGAAATTGTAAGTGATACAACAAAACCTATCACTGATTACATAAATATTCAATCAAAGATAATTTTATTTTTTGCATCTAATATTTAAGCATAGTCGACAAGTGATTTCTTTTTTTAACATCAAATATTTAAGCAAAGATGACAGTATATTTCTTTTTTTACATCTAATATTTAAACATAGACGACATTGATTTCTTTTTTACATCTAATATTTAAACATAGACGACATTGATTTCTTTTTTACATTTAATATTTAAACATAGACGACATTGATTTCTTTTTGTACATCTAATATTAAGCAAAGACAACAATTGATTTCTTTTTTACATCTAATATTAAGCAAAGACGACAAGTGACTTTTTTGTACGTCTGATTAAACGACTTTCACAATCCGATCTGAAGCGCTTGTCCATGATTGTACAGTGCGGTTGACAATGTTACTAAATATGTAGATTTAAGATCTAATGTTGAATTAAAGATGACGATTGATTTCTTTTTTTACATCTAATGTTGAAAAAAAGACAATTTATTTTATTTTTTACATCTGATTAAACGACTTTGACAATCCGATCTGAAGCGCTTGTCCATGATTCCATACACAATGGGGTTGACAATGTTATTAAATATGTAGAATGTGTGTAAAAACCTGTAAAAGACGAGCCGACTTGGTGGAATTGAAGACCAGAAGTCTCTGTTTACGGTCTGTTCTAACATCAGCCAGACTTTTGGTCCGTAGGTGATGACGTAGATGAGAGTGACGAGGATAAATATTAAGGTGAGACGGATTCCCTGTCGGTCGACCATGCTCCCTCTTCTTCCAAGTGATCCCGTCATTGAGACCACACTTTGTTTCCGTTTGGAAACTTTCTGAGCAGCTCCAGAAACCTTCCGTGGCTCAGTTCCAACTTTCTGGTTTGGCTTCCCATTGATTGCGGTTTCATTCTTTTCATTGGCATCATCTGCGGACATACTTTGTTGGTTTAGTTGATTTAACCCGACGTGATTTTCTGTATCTTCAGTGGAAGTGATCGAAGTGTTCGTACATGAGAGAAAAGACCCCAGTCTCTGTCTATGTTTACTGTGATTGTACAATTTCTTAATAATGTTTCCGTAACAAAAGAATAGCACACCAAATCTAACAACAGTAACCATAAACAGTACGATTTTGTATATCATATGACCTGTTACGTGTTTTTCGTCCATTTTGTCAATACATTTCCACGTCTGGAGTTTGATCCCGCCTTCAATTTTCATGGGGACCTGTTCTACTTTATACACATCGAGAGCAGGGGCTGATAATATCAATCCAACAACACAGGTAACAACGATAAGGATTTTCTTGATGTAGATTGTCATTTGGCGACCAAATGGCCTACAAAGCTTGATATAACGTTCCACAGCAATAACAAGTAGAAAATCGGCCGAAGTGCTTGCAAAAAGGATACCCAGAAACGCTGCCATCTTGCACCCGAAATCATTATCGAATATTAATGGGTACGTTTGTGCATATATTCCAGTCCCTGAAGACACCACACACGACAATAAGTCTACTAGTGCCAATAACGGGATGAAGTACCTGTCCTCTCTTACGGGCTTCTTACGTGCCCAGTACACAAACATCACTAAACTGTTCCCCAAAACACCAATGGCGATATAAAACCATAAAACTACTGTCACTGGCAGCAGTGTCTGTGCGACGTGGTCGTTGACATAAATCAAAGGAGGAGGTTTAAATGAAACATTCAATAACGTGGTGAAATTCGACGTAGGGTCGGTAGTCAGGTCCATGTTGAGTCCTTGTTTATGCGTGCTTGGTGCTTGATGTACGCTCTTCAACTACTTAGTGTCGTGCTTTATCATACGTTAAGTGTGTGTCGTATATATGTGTGTACTGATAGTTTTTTGCAACCGATACGGATGTTCATCATCTAACGTGGAATGAGCCTCGGCCCAGCATATCCAGAAATCACACAGAGATATAACACAATGAACATATAATACAGTTTATTTACATAGAAAACACACAGAAAACTATCAACATACTCGCACTCACAATCATTCTCCATTCATACACCTTAGCAACAGGTAAAGATACGAAGATATTTAATGTCTAATTTTCACAATCAATGTTTCAGAATGTTTAGGTTACAGCAGCAGCAGCATTATGAAATGGAATTAATTTTATCATGAAACCATTTTAAAGGGATATCAAAAGCTGTAGTGGGAAAAGTAATCAAGTAAGTTGTAAAACAACTCTTTCTTTCATCAGTAAAGGTATAAATAATCAACACTTAATTTCGGTTTCTTAACATTCCACATAATATCAGCTCATGTTTCAGCTTGAGAAGTGGAATTTTAACAGTTTTAGTAGGCGTTGTTTAGGAAAAAGATGATTGTGCTTTCATGTTTTGACGAGGCCGTATATAACAATACTTTGTCAGACTCTGTCAGCTTCTTTTGTATTAACATTCCCATCTGGAGAAATTTAAAATGTCCTTTTTAAGATGGCGGTCATCCTGGATTTCAGACCGACCCGAAAAACGACAACACTCGGTCCAGAACATCTGATGCCTTTTCAAACAAATTTGAGCTAAATCTAAATCCCTTTGGTGGTAATTGAGACAAAGTTCAATATTTTCAATATGGAGTGCATTGAGGATATTTTGAGTATGTATGTGTGGTATTTCCTGAAGAAGATTTTAAACGTCACGCAGTGAAAGAAAAGTTATATTTACATTCCGACATATGCGATCACATATATTATTGTAGTAGATTTTGTCATTTCGTAATGTTTCATTACAACAGCACCCGTTGTATCCGCACTGTTCTTAATTTCGAATTCTAGTAGGTTTACATATGCGATGGACATAGTCAATAAATGGAACGACAGGACATTCTCTATATATCTGAAAGTGAAATTAAAAATTTCACAAGGTCTTTTTTATCTGTTTGAATACGCTTTTCGATAAATTAAGTCTCATAAGAAAGCAAACCTTACCAAGAGACAGACCAAGTGTGTGCTCTAGATATGCCAATAGTCTGTTGAAAGATCATAGCACCAAAATCTAAGAAGACATTGTCAACTAAAACATCGAAGAAAATACCTACATGTTAACAGAAAATAAGACCAATAGTTATCTTTAGAATCCTGAAAAGCACAGGGAGAATGCGGCCAAATGTTCCGAAATGGTAAGCGTTGTTTGTTTCACCCACTATGTAAATCTTGGTCAATCCATGCTAGCAATGCTACACTCACAAATGGAACCAAGACATACCAACAATCATCAGAAATGTCGTATAGCATAAAGACACAGTATTTTTCAATGTCATCATTATGACGACCGTTACACTTCCCTATACTTTTCCTCTACCCACTTCCCTCAAAACCCTGAGTGTCTTGCAGTTGCCGTCATCTTCCAACGAAAATCTTGATATTGCGATACTGCGGCATGTAATCACCTTAGTTTGGGCATGTAGGAACAATCTATCAAACAGTGGAGAATTCAAGACAGGGAACTCGAAGGCATATCTTATGTTCTCCGGTTTGGTATCATCAAAGGAATCGAGGTAAGCGGTTGATGTCGTAGAGTCTCTTGTCTTCTTGACTTTGCTTTCTGATGGTATATCAATGGTCTTGGTGACGTGCTTGATATACAATTTAAAAAAATAGGCATTGTATGAAAACAAAAAGAAATTACCCAAGAGAGGGACACATAAAATAGGTATGGCAATAGTCTGTTGGAATATATTAGCGATAAACTCGAAGAATATATATATTGTCCACACAAAAATTTATCATATGTTTCCATATATTTCTTCTTCGACTGGAATGGGAGTGGGAAAAGCCAAAATCAAATGTTCTGATAGAATGGTGTTTTAAAGTGTGTGTTCAAGATTCGTAGATAGCTCTTTGGAATTTTTAACAAATCCACATACCTAGTAGTTGTTCCGCTTAAACAGTAAACAGCTTCACAAAAACTGTAAGTCTAACTTGACTTTATTAAAATGGTACAAATAAGCTTTGATGAAGGTTTTGTTAAACAACTCGACAATACTGTTTACTATAATAGGACACGTGGAAACTATCAGGATGGTGCATCCGTGTGGTGATACCTCGATACTTACCACTCCCTTTCAAGTGAAAGTAGGATAAATTCTGGAAAGAATTCAGGATGTCTGGATTAAAGTATATAAATATTTGTCTTCCTTAAGTACATTGTTCATATCCAATATACATAGTCACTATCAAACCAACGGATAACATTAATACCATATGTTTTTTGACAATTTAAGGTGCTTTTAATCATTTTCTTTTCTTACTTTTTTATTTCTGAAGATTGAATGGTTCATCCTATGTATTCGTTATATAAGATTTATGAAATGAGGGTTTTTCATAAAGGCTCAAGTCTTAAAAAATAAAAAAAATAGGCAAAGACAACTTAAATTAAATTTGCTGTATGAAAAGCATGATGGTTTAAATGTTCCTGTTGTGATTTTTCCACTTCTGGATAACAACCTTCGTACGTCCCCAAGCTATGGTGTTTACATGTTGCGTTTGATTCGATATTCAAGGACTTGCTGGTTCAAGAGATGCAGGTTGATGAAAATCATGGGGGAAGTTTTGCGGTCGTCATAGTAATCTCATTGAGAATTATTCTATTTCTTTGGTCGATATGAAGTTGGGCGTTTTTTATGCTCGTTAGTTTGCCTGTTGGTTCCGTTGGTGTAAGCCTTGTTCTCATTTGAGAACGTAACATAACTTACTTGGATGGACAACATTTTAAATGGGGGATGTCGTCGATGAAGCAGACGAAGCTTACTCTTCCGGAACATCTGTTCTCCTTGTACTTTTCCGGAGTCTCCGCGTAGATCTTTGGCCTAGTTTTATTCAATTTGAGTGTTGATTGTGATTATGTTGACATGTTACTACCACCGCGTATATGTTCATTTGTGTAAAATAATTTATTATCATTTTTAAAGCCAGTGTCCTTGATATATCCTGTTTTGTACGTGTCAGATAACTCAATATATAAATTAGTGAATATATCTCCATCAGTGAAATCTACAGAAATTTTGACCATAAACAACTGTATAGTAAATTAGCATTTTTGCATCGTTCGTTTCCATTAAACTATTTGTATCGACTAAGTCACATACTTTAATATTTTCATTATACGATCGGTACGTTAACATATATAGACATATAACAAAGTATGCTTTGTAATGCCAAACACCTACAGGGAAAAATGGAAACTGATCATAGAAAAACAACAAATAAAAAAATTAAATGTAAACAGGCTCTTAATTCCAATACATATTTTATAAGGCTAGGACTAATCAGTTTTTTTAAAAAAGACTTTTGAAAAAGAACGAGGCTAATAAGACTAGTTAGCGTCATCTGCTTCACCTTTTGTAAATGTTGCTGAATCCAAGTAGGTAATTTCACACTCCGAAATGAGAACAAGGCTCTACCTTCAAACATGTCAAACTTGATATCGTACAAGGAAATAGAATGTCTTCCAATGAGATCACTATGGTAACCATAAAACTTGCCCATAATCGCCGTCAACCTCAATTGGTATTTTTCAGTGAACAATAGCGCCACGTAATTCCGGTCCTTACAAAGCACTTTAAAAGATTATTGTGTTTGGTCATAATTTTCCGCTTCGGTCCATATCATCTGTTTCCTGTAAGGGATAACAGGGAAATATTTTGAAACTGAACTCGTTCGAGGAAAAACCACATGATACACCCAACCACAGCTACCACATATACAGTTGTACCTTATGAAATATTTACCGAAGATTTACACAAGAAGTACCATATATACAGTTGTACCTTATGAAATATTTACCGAAGATTTACACAATAAGTACCACATATATAGTTGTACCTTATGAAATGTTTTATCGAGAATTTACAAAATTTTAAAACATTTGATTTCCTTGTGCGCTATTCAGGTGGACCTGCTTGATGTATGTTACGTATATCTGGTGGTTTCTGTTGTTTGTTTGCGCCTCGTTTCATTGAAATTTATCATAAATATCTACTAGACGTTTTTGAACTAAGATAAGGAGAGGCTGTTAGTAATAAAACAAAAAGCTGAAGCTCAGACAAAAGAGTCTATCAACAACTATTTATTCTTTACATCTGATAAAATACTTTTTACATTCCGATCTGAAGCGCCTATCCATGATTCTATACACAATGGGGTTTACAATGTTTTTTAAATATGTGGAATATGTGTAAATTATTGTAAAAGACGAGCTGACTTGGTGGAATTGAAGACCTGAAGTCTCTGTTTATGGTCTGTTCTAACATCAGCCAGACTTTCGGTTCGTAGGTGATGATGTTGATGATAGTGGTAAGGATTACAATGAGACGGATTCCCTCTCGGTCGACGGTGCTCAATGTTTTCAGACCCTGTCATTGAGACCCTATTTTGTTTCCGTTTGGTAACATTCCGATGAGTCAGGGACCCCTGCTTTGGCTTCCTTAACAACGACCAATGTTGGCTTCCTATTTGATTCTGGTTCGTTCGTCTCTATGGTGCCTTTTACATGCATGCGTTAATTTATGGTTAAGTTGATTTATTTTCTCGTGTTTTTCTGTGTCATCGCCAAGGAAGAGAGCATTATTCTTATATGACAAAAAAGACATAACATTTCGCTCATAATTAGTTTGTGTATGTATCACCCAAATGATGACATCCTTACCAACAATAACGATCCCTCCAATAGTTATCACAAGCAGTTTTGTATATCATATGACCTGTTGCGTGTTTTTCG